TCAGAGTGTGCAGCCCTGGAGGAGTTCATCCATGAGGGGTAGGAGCCCCCGGCTAGAGTCAGGCCAGCATGGTGCACTGAGCAGGTGCTCCCAGGTCGGGGGTCCACCTGCGCACATGGCCCATGGTCCCCTCTGCCAGTCCCTTCCTACTTCCCCTTGCTCAGCATACTGCTTGGACAGGACCTGGGTGGGGGGGCCATCCCTTGAGCAGCATCTGCCTGGGGAGTGGGCTATCCTCTAGCCCAGCCTCCCTGACAGACCCCTGTGGGACCTCAGCATCCAGGTCCTGCCCCATGAGGGCAGACACCCCTTCCAAAGTGCTGGGGGCCTCCTTGCATCCCCTGGAGGTGACAGATGCTGCCTGGGCCCATCTCTCCACAGGTACCTGATTGGAGAGGAGGGTTACTGCCTGACGTCACTACAGAGTGCCCTGAACTACGTGGAGCTACTGCCCCGGGGGGCCCTGGGCAAGTAGAGGAGGACAGGACCTGCCGAGGACCGTCCAGGAGTCACCTGCTGGGGGGAGGGGGGCACTAGGCCAGCTGTGGTGGGGCTGTGTAGCTCTCACACTTGCCCTAACCTGACATCTGGCCCAGGGACTTGAGACACCGCTGTTCCTCAGAGGCACCAGCTCCTAGGAAGTAGGCCCATCTCTTTCTTGTCTCAGCCTGAGAGGCTCTGTGCACGAACATCAGAGCTGTGGACTCCCCTTGGGGCCGGTACACATGGTCCTCAGCCCCAGCAACTCAGCGGTAGGGAGGGCGCCTTGGGCCTGGCAGAGGGCAGGTCTGGTTTCTCTCCCTTCCCATCCCTGTGACAGTCAGCTTCCAGCACCAGTGGCTTGTTAGTCAAGAAGAGGGCCTGGCCCCATACCCTGCCTCCCACCCAAGGGCTGGGGCCTAGGTGGTCTGAAACTGTGCTGTTTACTTATTGGGCATTGATCACTCCATTCTCCTCTGGAGCCCAGGCACCCCCAGGGCACCCACCCGTGTCTGGGGCCTCTGAGCCACCCCGGCCCTTGGCACGGTACGAATTGGACCCCTGGCCACTTCCCATCCCCGCATGTCCCCTTCTGGGTCAGCGTGAACCCAAGGGTCAGTGCCTGCCTGCAGCCCAGTGCCCACTCTGACTGTTACATGCCCTGGGCAGCCACTGACACAGCCAAAAATAAAGAGGTCACTGATATCTCACGCTGCACGGCTCGCGTGCTCGCCATTCCACTGGCCGTGCGGAGGCCTGAGTAGCACAACCCCTCCCCTGTGGACCAGCAAGAGCCAGACTGTCCCAGAGACCACCTCCCAGACCCTCTGGGGCAGGACATGCTCCGCGGGGCTGAGTGGGTTGGGCAGGACCTGGGACTGGACCTCTTGGCCTGCAGGGTCTCGGGAAGCACCTTCATTCTCCAGGTGGGAAACACACATAGGTGTCCTGAGCTGTGATCTGTGTCGCCCCTAAAGAGGAGAAAGCAAGCAGCATCTGCCAGGGAAGGAGGGACCCCTGGCAGACCTGAGTTACCCCCGAGGCAGGTGGTTTGGGCCCAGCCACCCCAGGGGCCAGTTACGGGAGCAGTGTGCAGGTGCCCCGGGGAAAGGCTCTGCGGAGACGGCAACAGCAGTTGGTGTTTATTGGGTGCTTTGCAGGTCTGTCTTCCGAGGACTTCCATGAGGAACTGAGGCAGGAGCAGGGGAAGCACCTTCGCTAGGCTACGTCTCATGATGGCAGAACTGGGTTTGAGCCCAGCAAGCCAACTCAAGAGGCCAACGGGCACCTGCAGTCCAGACCCCACAGTTGGGTGCTGGGCCCAGTGGGCTGGGGCAGGCCAACCCGAATCCCTGGGACAGCTGTTGTCTCTGGAGCTTTTGTGGCCTGTGGTCTTCTGCCTGTCAGTGCTCCCAGAGCAGACAAGCCAGCACCCGCCCAACACCTTGCCTTTGTCTCCCCACCCTTGGCCCCCCTAACATTCTGCTTATGCTCTTGTAAGTGTAGAGTTCTGAGTAACCCAGACCTGGATGAGCACACCAGCCACCATGGAGCCTCGGGAAGAAGAGGTAACATCCCATGGTTCAGTCCTTGGCATTGACGTCTCAAGGATAGGATTTTAAAGGCCGCTGCATAAAGCAGATGGAGGATGAAGATGTGTCTTCAGCTAAGCCTGATAGTGGAAGTACCTGTTGGCTTGGCGCTGGGGACCACACCTCTGGGGATGGGCCCCATATGGGGGGCTGTCTCCTTGGCACCCTGTTCCAGGCGCTGCAGTCGGACAGGCTGAGCCCATGACTCTGAGCCCATGGTTCCTCCATAAAATGAATGAATAATCCACTCTTCCCACTGGAAATCCTGCAGATCAACAAGAAAAAGGCAGCAGTCCCAAAGAGAAAAATAGCAAAGGCTATGAACAGATTGTCTACAGAAGAGGAAGGTTTTTTTTGTTTGTAGATGTATTTATTTATTAGAGAGAGAGCATGCACGAGCAGGGAGGGGGGAGAGGGAGAATCTCAAGCAGAGCAGGGAGTCCGACACAGGGCTCAATCTCATAAACCTGAGACCATGATCTGAGCCAAAATCCAGAGTCAGACAGTTAACCAACTGTACCAGCCAGGCACCTCCAGAGGAGAAAGTTTTAAAAAGCTAATTAGCACAAGAAGTGTTCAAAACTTTAAAAATCAAGAAATGCAAATTAACACAGTAACAAGGTAGAATTCATGTGCACCATACTGGTAAAATCCAAAAGCTAGGCAAAGCTGAGCATGGTGGTGTGCAGAAGCTGGAAACCATACACGGGGGCGGGGGGAGGGTTGCAGCAGATTCAAGAACTAGCTGCAGTCCTGGGCCAGCGCAAATGCCAAATGACCCTCCGACCTTACGACCAGGTCATGAGAGGACATGTACACAGATGGAGTCAGGCAATGTGGCATCCATCCCCGGGAGGGTTGAAGCGGAATGTGGTGAATGCACGTAGTCCCACATCGATTGCTGTGTAACCAACCACCCCACCTCACCGGCTTAAACACAACAGCAGTCGTTTACTTTGCTCAGGAATCTTCCATTCGGGCAGGGTTCCTTGGGGACAGCCCATCTCCGCACCCCCAGCATCAGCTAGGTCAGCTTCCAGGCTGGGTGACCCAATGTCAGGGATTGGAATCATCTAGAGCTTTGTCCACGCGTCTGCAGTGGATGCTTGTCAGCTAGGACCTCAGTCAGGACTCACAACCACATTCTCAGAACCATGTGAGGCCTGCGTTAGTTTCCTCTGGCCACCATAAACAATGCCACAAACTGAGTCAAGTAAAAAACTAGAAATGTACTGAAGTTCTGCAGGCTAGAATCTGAATTCAGGATGCTGATGGGACTATACTCCCTCAAAGTACTAGAGCAGAATCCTTACTTGCCTCATCCAGCTTCCTGCTCCTACAATCCTTGGCTGGTAGCTGTAAGTAGAGCCCCAGTCTCTGTCTCCATCACCATAGGCTTTCTCCCCTACATGCTGTGCCTAAACTTCTCTCTTAACAACATCAGTCGTATTGGATTTAGGGCCCATCCTAATTCAGCATGACTTCATCCTAACTTGATTATATCTGCAAAGAACGTGTTTCCAAATAAGCTCACATTCCCAGGTTCTAGGTGGACACGGATCTGGGGGGACATTATTCAGCTCAGTGCAAGTTCTCTCCATGTGGCCACGGGCTCCCCCACAACATGATGGCTAGACTCCAAGAGCAAACAACTCAAGACAACAAGGTGTTTTAATGACTTAACCTGGGAAGCCAAACAATGTCACCTCCATTCTGTGGGTGCAAGTAGGTGCAAAGACCCGCCCAGTTTCAAGTGTCATACTGAGAAGAGCCACACGTGCCCTAGATTAGCAAGCAACGGCTGAGAGCAGTTGCCTGGAGTCACACACGGCAACAGGACTTGAGTGCGGAATCAAAGCAACAGAACCCCATCTACTTCCAGTTGAAGACGCAATCGTGCACGCTGTGGCAGGCTCTGCACCGAGGCTGCGGATTCCCCACACCGCAACAGTTGTCTTAGGGTTGCGGGCTATGACCATGGATGGATGCAATTCAGAGGCCTCGCATCTGAAGACCACGATGAATTCAGTGGTGAAACCGAAGGGAGTGGTTAAGCTCCACCCTTCCGCACAGAGGCCGGAGAAGACCAGAAGTTAACTGTCTCCTCACGGCTGGTGTGGCCCTAGAGCTGGGTTCAGTGCATCGTAAGCGAAACGCCTCTATGTTGAGTGGTGGCCAGCAAAATGTCTCAAGGAGATCCCCAGCTTGGTTCCAGTATTCCTCTAAAAGTCCCATTTGAAGTATGTGAAGACGCACCTGCAGGGTACTGCCAGGTGAAGGCTCTTATTAAGAGAAAGATCTTCCCAGGCAGGTCCCATCTCAGCAAAGTGGTCTGGAGAGGTGAGGGGCCCAGAAATCAAGGGGCAGAGCCTGCCCAGGGAGGAAGGTCTACAGAAGACCTTCCTCGCATGGAGCTGGGCCCCCAAGGGCTAAATCTCTCCCATCCCTCCTCCGCCCAAGTGGCTTTAGCGCACGGGTCGGGCGCCTGGAAACGAGGCTGCCCTAGTTAGGGAGGGGCCTTCACCCCGCCGCAGGGACCAGGAAGCTGAGCCCACAGAAAGACCAAGGCCGCCCCACCCACCTGAGGCTGCTGTTTCAACCACGCGGAGACGCACCTCCCTGGGCTCACGGTGAGCTCTGGGCCCGGGCCGGGGCGCACTGGCAGCACCCGCTTCCGCCCCGGCCACCGCTGCCGGGGCCCAGCTCAGAGGAGGGGGCTGCGCGTACGCACCGTTCCTCGCGCGCCCGCCGCGCGCCCGCCCAGGATCCGCCGCGAGCCGCCCGGGGCCCGCGGGCAGGCGGAAGACGCGGGGGCAGGTGCTCCGCCGAGCGGCACAAGGCCCCGCCCCCAGCCCGGCCCACCCGGGTGAGCCGAGGGGGCGGTGCCCGGCGCAAGCCCCGCCCCGGGCGTCACGGCCAAGGCCGGTGGGCGGAGCCGGTGGCGGCGGAAGAGCGCGGCCGCGGGACGGGTCCGAGCGGAGAGGTGGCCGATTGGGCTCCGCTGGGGACCGACAGGTAGAGCGGTCCCTCGCGGGGCCACAGCACGCTCTGGTGGGCGAGGTGGGGGTCTCTTTTCGGGGGGAGACACAGCTGGCGGGCGGGTCTCCAGGGAAGCGGGGTGCTGTAGATACTGGGGGCCGCTCCGCTGGCGAGGTCGCCGGGCTGTGCGGGGACATGTGGACACGGGGGGGGCGCACAGCCGGCGGGGACAGGGTCACCGGGCCGGAGGGGGGTCTGTGGACGCTGGGTGGGGGCTCGGGGGGCCGCACAGCCGGCGGGGAGGGGTCTCTGGTTCCTGACACCGGACCCCCGCCCGCCAGAATGGGCAGCAGCTCGCTGTCCGAGGACTACCGCCTGTGCCTGGAGCGTGAGCTGCGGCGTGGCCGCGCGGGCGTGTGCGGGGACCCATCGCTGCGCGCCGTGCTGTGGCAGATCCTGGTGGAAGACTTCGACCTGCACGGCGCGCTGCAGGACGACGCGCTGGCGCTGCTCACCGACGGCCTGTGGGGCCGCGCCGACCTGGCCCCCGCGCTGCGCGGCCTGGCCCGCGCCTTCGAGCTGCTGGAGCTGGCGGCTGTGCACCTGTACCTGCTGCCCTGGAGGAAGGAGTTCACCACCATCAAGGTAGGGCGCTGGGCCGAGGGGGCGCCCCCACTCAGGCTGCCGTGTACCGTGGGGCAGAGGATACCATTGAACAAGGGATTTCATGGGTCTTCAGAGCCGCGTGGCTCTTCAGGGCTCAGAGGGGATTTGGGGCGCTTTGGGGCAGCTCTTGGCCAAGGTGTCCCCCCTCCCCCCCCCCTCCCAGGGCTGAAAACATGGTGTGGGCAGAGGCCACCCACCCTGGGTGCCTGCCTCCTGGGGAGATCCTTGCTCCTCAAGGCTTGAATCAGTGCCCTCCCCCAAAGTGGCCTCACAGCCCAGGTAGCACAGAAATCCTAGGACAGGTGCCTGGGAGGGACTTGAGGTTCCATGGTCATCCTAATCCTTGCATGACCCCATTTATAGAAGAGGACGTTGGGTGGGTGTATCCCCTGTGAAGTAGGTAGGGGCTGGAGGCCCTGCATACGCTGGGGTCTGCACTGATCACCCCTGTGGGTGAGCTGCTGGCCTGCAGGAGGGGGCAGGCATACTTGGCCCTCAAAGCTAATTTGGAAGAGTAGGAAGGTGCTGATGTCATTGGGCACGTGGGCGAGTCCACCTCCACTGGTTGCCATGGCAGCAGCAGCCTCTCTCTCTCTCTCTCTCTCTCTCTCTCTCCCCCCCCAACCCCTTTTCCTCTCCCTCTCTCTCACCCCACCCTCCTTCACTCCCTCCCTCTCTCAAGAGGTGAGCTCTGGAGCCTATTGCTTCATGGGGACACCTGCTGGTCAGAAGTTCTAGGACATTTTAATTCAGAGAACAGGGCGGGAGGCACCCTCAAGCGCCAACCCCGTGGGAAGCCAAGAACCGAGCGGACAGGCCTGCCCTTGCGGTGCTCCTGGGCTTCAGTGTTGGGCAGACCTGGTTGGGATCTGGTTCTGCTTCCTCTTGGCTGTGTGGCTTTGTGCAAGTTACCTAATCTCTCTGAACCCATGTCCTCATCGGTGAAACACACCCAAGAGTAGTGCAGTCCAAGGTCTGTTGTGAGGGCTGAAGGCAAAACCCTGAGTACAGTGCCCGCCCACGGCAGCGCTCCGTCTGCGGGAGGGATGCTGACGGGATCCCAGGGCTCCCGTCTGGGAGAGACACAGCACCATCATCCTGAAGCCCTTCCAGTTCCTCACAGGACTGCAGCCTAGAAAGCACTTTCCCATCTAGCACTCCTGGGCTCTCAGCCCAGATGCACGTTAGAGCCTCCGAAAAATACGGATGTTTCATCTATGTGGTGGAACGCTACACAGTTGGAAAAAATGAATGGCTAAGCCTCTGTCCCAATGGGGAAAGCTCTCCAGAACAGGACGTGGGAAGGTGGAGTTCAGAACAGCCTGTCTGGAGAGCAGATAAGCACCCGTTTGTGTTTGCGTGACCCAATCTCGGCCCCAGGGGGGACAGGAGGTGGAGACCCCAAGGCAAGTGAGATTTCTTTTTTTAAGATCTTATTTGAGAGAGCGAGCAAGCGAGAGAGCAGGAGGGGGGTGGGGAGACAGAAGCAGACTCCCCGCCGAGCAGGGAGCCCAACGTGGGACTCCCATCTGGGACCTGAGCTCAGCTGACTGAGCCACCCTGCTGCCACGAAGTGCGACTTCCTGGCGTGGGGGCTCTTTATTTTGTTCTGCCTCAGCCATGGAGATGGGTGTGCCGGGGTGGGTCGGAGCATGCGGCTGAGCAGCCCCTCTGAAGGGAGTGCCGGCACGGCCTGGTTCCGGGGGGAGGCCAGGGCCAGGAGGAGCTCGAGCGTGGGTCGGCTGCTGCTGACCAGGACCCTCCTCTGCAGACCTTTTCAGGGGGCTATGTGCACGTGCTGAAGGGCGCCCTCTCGGAGGACCTCCTCCTCCAGAGCTTCCAGAAGATGGGTTACGTGCCCAGGGACAACCACCGCCTCATGATGGCTGCCCCGCCACCCGCCTGCCAACTGGTGCAAGTGGCCCTGGGCTGCTTCGCCCTCCGGCTGGAGTGTGAGATCCTGGGCGAGGTGCTGGCGCAGCTGGGCACCAGCATGCTGCCAGCCGAGGAGCTGCTGCAGGCTCGGCGGGCCAGTGCAGACGTGGCCTCCTGCGTGGCCTGGCTGCAGCAGAGGCTGGCCCGGGAAGAGGAGCCGCCGCCTCTGCCCCCCCGGGGCTCCCCAACAGTCTACCAGACCCCGCTGGACCTCTACCGGGACCTGCAGGAGGATGAGGGCTCGGAGGAGGCCAGCCTGTACGGTGAGCCCTCGCCGGGCCCCGACTCCCCGCCCCCAGAGCTGGCCTGCAGGCCGCTGCTCTGGGAACAGAGCGCCAAACTGTGGGGGGTCAGGGGCGCAGCCTGGGAGCCCCTGGAGGAGGCTGAGGTGCTGCCGCAGGCCAGCAGCCCACCCTATGGGGCCTTGGAGGAGGAGCAGGAGCGCGAGCCCACAGCCTTCTCCTTCCTGGCCCTGCGAAGAGAGCTGCTGAGTCAGCCTGGAGACGCGGCTGCCCCCAGAGCCCCAGGGAGCCCCTGCCAGCCCCCCGGCTACCAGGCGCACAGCTGCCTAGCTCCTGGGGCCCTGCCCGCCCTCTGCTGTGATACCTGTCACCAGCTGCACGCGCCCCACTGTGCTGCCCTGCCCACCTGCCGAGCCGGCCACGCGCTTCGCCCGCTGCTCAGTGAGGGCCAGCGGCGCCTGTGGCTGCAGCGCGCGCAGCTGGACACCCTGCTCTATGACGGGCCCGGGGCCCAGCCTTAGACCCAGCCAGGCCCTGCGGCAGGGCCTTCCCGAGACCGTTTCTGTGGTGCTTCTCTGGGCCTCAGCACTCCTCGGGCCTAAGCCCCCAGCCACCCTGCGCCCAGGGGACTTCTGGGCACAGCGAGGTGGGGCATCGGGCTTCACAAGGCAGGAGGTGGGGTCCTGCCTTCCATGGGAGGCTCCTGCGTTGGCCTGGCCGACTCCCTACCCCCGGCACCCAGCATCCAGGCCCATGTCCAAACGTGCTGGGTGGAGGAGTCTCGCCACCAAGCCTATGCCCAACGAAGGGCCCTCTCCCTTCACTTTCGCTCCTTGCCCCATCCCACTGTAGGGCCCACCGCTCAGCCTGTGGACCTGAGCCCTACAGTTGTCCTTCAGAACACTGCTTCCCTCCACGTGTCCAGGGGAGAGTCTCCTCACAGGGCTGTCCCTGGGAGCCACTGAGCACCACTGTGACCAGTCTGGGGGCTCTGCCAGGTACATGGCTGAGCTAGCCCCTTGCCTAGAGGTGTCATAAGCCAGCGCTGAATGAGCTGAGGGCTGGCTCGAGACCAGCTGGGCCGGGGAGTGTGGTCCCCAGGTGGAGAAGAAATGATCTGATCTCAAAGCAGAGTGGGGAGCCTCCCCAGACGCCCAGAGCATAGGCGGCAGGAGGAAGGACGCAGGCAGCTAGTGGGGCCTGGATAGGCTGTCACTCCCCTCGTGGGTGGAGTGTGGGGCTTCTGAGCAGTCCGCACCCCACAAGCCACCCTGCTGTTGGCTTTCTGCTGCATAGGCTCTGAAAGGCAGGGCAGGAGGCCGTGCAGGCTTCCCACCTGAGAATGCTCCCTGGGTCCAGTAGTAAGGGTGTGGCTGGGTTCTTGAGCAGCCACCTGCTAAGGCAGACTCTTAAGGCCAAGGCAGGCAGGCAGAGCCCCCTCCCCTGGGAAGTATTCAGCCACAGGACTAGAGGGGACAGGTGCCTGTCTTCTGTGCTGGGTGCTCTACCCCCGTCTGTCTATCCCACCTCCCCTTCTCCCCAGCACTCAGAGAACCACCATCATGTCCCATGAATCAGAATATTAAAGTTCATTAAAGGACACTGAACCTACTCATACCTGTTAGAAAACCTTTTATCTCTCTGACTCATGCCCCTTCCCCTCTGGGCCTCAGTGTGGGTCAGGGACAGGGCTCAGACCCCAGTCCCTCAGGTGGGATGTGACCCACACCCGACCTCTCCTTCCCATTCTGAGTGTGCCAACCCTGCCGGGGGGGGGGGGGGTGCGCCTCTCCCTGCCCTAGACAGACCCTGGTGATCAGGAGGGAGCACAAGCCACCATGTGGGGTCTACGCATCCCAAGACAGCAACACCCACTGAATTGGGCCCAGCAGGTGTTTCCTCCTGGGAAGGGAGGGTCCCAAGCTTTTACCAGCTGAGGGCGCGGCAACAGGTGTCCTGAATGAGGTCCCACCCCTTCAAGGTGCACCCACCCTGCATCACCCCCATGCCCACTCCCCGCTCTTCTGGGGAAGGGGTGTGATCAGCCGGAGCAGCGGGTAGGTCTCCGCCGAAGGAGGAGCTGGGTCCCAGCAGCGTCGTGAGCCTGGACTGCAGAGGCCTCCCCATTCCGTTGCTGTCCGTCGCAGATGTGCCAGCCCGGTGGAGGGGCTGTCAGGGCTTACAGCGCTTGCCCTGGGCCTCAGACGTGGCCTGGACAGCCCGCTTGTTGCGGTGGTGGGGGAAGGTGGGCATGAGCTCCGGCTCACAGGCTGCGGGGAGGAGTGCGTTGGGGTCTGAGAACCCCACTGTGCATCCGTGTCGGGCCCTGGAGTCGCGTCTCCCTCTGCCCCCCTCAGACAACAGTCTGTGTGGCCAGCGAGTACCCACGTGGGCCTCAGCATGCAGCCCCTGCTCCACCCGGACAGGCCTGTGTCAGGAGCCCGCCCCACCACCCCCAGGGACTCGAGGAGCTGTGGGAGGCCGTGCCCCTACACCCCCACCCTGGACAGAAAGGGCCACAAGACAAGCGCGCTGCGGGGCTCAGTGGGAAACTCACGCAGGGGCTTCTCCTTGAAGTACGAGCTCTCCAGGCCATCTCTGGCCGTTGCCCTGGACAGGAGGCCTCCGTGTTAATAGGACCCCGGCTGCCGCTGGGGCCGCTTTCCCACACACCCACCCAGCTCCGCAGCCTCTGGTTCAAATTTCCCGACAGCAAAAGGCGAGTGGCCAGCAAGGGTCTGCGGCCCAAAAACAGATGAGAAATTCAGAGTGGGCTCTATGATCTGGGTGGGCAGCGACCACCCACACTGGGGGCCTGGGCCTCCGCGTCTGTTGGGGGAGGGGGCACCTCTGTGGCAGCGTGGCCAGAGTTCTGAAAACCCCCCCTTTCGAGGGCTCGGGTTTGAGGCCAGGTCAGCACCTTTTCTTGGGGTCGTACATGAAGAGGAAGTTCAGCAGGCGCAGGCCAGCCTCCGAGAGCCACGGGAACTTGTGTTTGAGGTTGTTGTACGGCTGCTTCCTCAGGCTGTACTGACCCACCAGCGGCAGCCTGGAGAAGCCCTGCAGGGAGCAGGAGTGGAGCATGGGGGCTGGCCCGGGCAGGGGGCAGAGGGGGGCGGATGAGGGCAGAGGCCGGGCACTCACTGGCCAGATGTTCTCACTGGGCGTCCCCAGCAGCTGCACAATCAGGTCCACCTGGTGGATCTCGGACGTGCCAGGGAGAAGGGGCTTGTGGGCCAGCAGCTCGGCCAGGATGCAGCCCATGGCCCTGCAGAGGAGAGCAGACCTTACCTCACACACCTGTCCCCTGCTGCCACACACCTCTGCTGAGGCCAAGTGCTGGGGTCAGGACAGGGTGGAGCTTGGGAGGAAGTCAAGATGGGACATGACCCCGTCCCAGATGGCCTCTTTGGGTGACCATGAGGGCAGGGCCTTTCTTCTGTGGAAGCTACGTTCTCATGCTTCCTCTTAGGGATCCCAGGCTTCGGCCCTCCCCCTCCCCCTGGGGGCTGGGAGGCTGACAAAGACCCCAGCCCTGTTCCTGCCCTTGTGAGCCCCCATGGGACCCACCCCAGCCCTTCCCCCAGGTCCCAGGAGCCGCATTCTCTTCTCACCACATGTCTATGCTGGTGGTCTGCGTGGTGGTTCCCAAAAGCAGTTCGGGGGCTCGGTACCTGCAAACACAGGTACTCCCCCTCGTACCCTGCAGTGAAGCCTGGGCCTCCACCAGCCTTCCTGACAGCCTGAGGCAGCCCGGGCTCCAGACTGCCAACCCCAGCTCAGACCACCTTGTCCTCCCAGCCCACAATCGTGGGTGACACACAGAGTAACACCAACTTTGCGGGTCGGCTCCTAGGAGTCTGCCGCCAGCCCAGTCTGTAGACACGGCTGGCTGACGCATGGCAGAAGACCTACGATTTCGTATCGTTAACCACAGGCCTGTTCTGCTGCTTCTTAAAAACATGCATGAGAAAAACTACAGAAAGCTGAATAAACCGCCCCACCCCACAGACAGAAGTCTGTGAAGCGACCTCCCCTTCTTGAGAGGGCTCAGAACCAAGCAGGACAGTCCCCCGCCCCGCCGTGCTGTCCTCCGTCCCGACAGCCCCGCTGTCTCAGGAAGCTGTCCTAGACCCAGCCTCTAGGAGTGCGTGTGGCCCTCTGTAGCTTCAAGACCCTCAGGATCCTTCTGCTGCTTCAGCATGATCAACCCCCACACTTCCTCCACTCACCAGAGTGTGACCACCTTGGGGGTCATGGGCTTCACTGGGATGCCATAAGCCCGGGCCAGGCCGAAATCCGCTGTGACGAAGGCAGAAAGGCAGTGTGTCACCCAGCGGGGGCTAAGAAGCTGCCGTGTGCAAACAGCTCTTAGCCCCCGGGGAGCTGGCAGGGACTGACCTGCTCCCCCGCCCCAGCGGCACTCAGAGACACCTGCCACAGTGCCGGCACCCAGCACCCACCTGTCTTCACACAGCCCTTATCGGTCATGAGCAAGTTGGACACCTTCAGGTCCCTGGGACAGAAAGGGAACATCGGTGATTCCCAGGACGTGAACCCCACAGGGCAACTAGGTTGTCAACGTCACAGGCAGACTCAGAACGCTTTCCTACACATCCCCTGTTGGAACTTTTTTTTTTTTTAAAGATTTTATTTATTGGGCGCCTGGGTGGCTCAGTCGTTGAGTGTCTGCCTTCGGCTCAGGTCATGACCCTGGGGTCCTGGGATCGAGCCCCACATCGGGCTCCCTGCTCGGCGGGAAGCCTGCTTCTCCCTCCCCCACTCCCCCTACTTGTGTTCCTGCTCTCGCTCGCTCTCTGTCAAATAAACAAATAAAATCTTTAAAAAAAAAATGGATAAAATCTTTAAAAAAAAAAGATGCCCTGAGCCTGGAAGGTTCCCCCACTTTCCTTGTGTCTGTGACGAGACTGCAGGACTTCTCATAGCCTTGTCAGCTCCCCCAGGGGGAAAGCAGGTGCTGTGGGGCCAGGATCGTGCCATTCCTCCCCCCGCCGCCCACTTGGGGCCCCTCCTACCTGTGGATGATGAAGTTCTGGTGCAAATATTGAAGGCCTCGGAGCACTTGCAGCACAATGCACTTGACCTATGCAAAGGGCAGGATGCATCAGTTAAATGTGCCACACAAGGACCTGGGATGGTGCCTCACTCCAGGCCCCCCAGCCTCACACCTGGGCCTCAGAGAAGGGTGTTGGCATGTTCTCCAGAAGGCTGGCCAGATCTTGCTCACAATAACCCATCACCAGAAAGATGCTGGAAGGAAAAGGGGAAGACACAGGGCACCTCCCACGTCCTCCCAGGTAGGCCAAAGGATCCTCCTGGAATTGCAGGAGGCATGAATTCGATTTGGGGGGAGCACAGGGAGGGGGATAGGAAAGGCAGGCTCAGCAGGGCCCAGTGCAGAGGACCAGCAGACTGCATACCTCTCCAGGTGGTTCCCCACAACGACTTCCTTCAGCTCCACGATATTCGGATGGCGAAGGCGAAGGAGCAGTGTGATCTCTCGAAGGCTGCTGATGGGGACCCCTGCAGCCAGACAGCCTCCTCAGTGAGCCCCACCCCTACCCCTGCAGGGCTCTGCCCACAACCTCAGGGAGAATCAAGGCCACCTGAACATGCACTTTTCTTTTTTTAATTTTATTTATTTATTTGACAGAGAGAGAGAGATCACAAGTAGGCAGACAGGCAGGCAGAGGGAGATGGAGAAGCAGGTTCTCTGCTGAGCAGGGAGCCCGACGTGGGGCTCGATCCCAGGACCCTGGGGTCATGACCTGAGCCGAAGGCAGACGCTTACTGGGACCATGACCTGAGCCGAAGGCAGACGCTTAACCGACTGAGCCACCCAGGCGCCCTGAACATGCACCTTTAACTCTCCCTTCCTTCAATGATGCAGGGCAGCAACTATCAGTATGCACCACCGTATAGGACAAGGGGTCCACAGTGAGCACAGCAAGGCCCTGCACAGGTGGCCGGGGAGGGGCTGGGGGGCAGAAATCAGGGGTGTGTGGAGCACAGGGGCTACCAGCCTGGCCTTAGGCAGGGAGGGCTGGGTAGAGGGGTGATGGCTGGGCTGAGACAGAAGATAGGGCAGTACCAGACAGAGGGAGAAGATGAACCGCACGGGGTTCAGGGGAACTAAGGCCTAGAGGAGAGGGGTGAGGGCGAGGGGCTGAGGAAGGACAGGACAGGCAGCCTCCCAGAAACAGGTCCCCTTTAACCCTCATGAAGATGCTCTCAGCACCAGGGGTTCAGGCCAGAGGAAGCCTCAGAAAACTGGCACCTTTCTGCCCCTCCCACTTGAGCTCACCATCCTTCTCCTTGTCCATCCGCACCTTCTTCAGGGCGACAATCTCGTCCGTCTGGGTGTCCCGGGCCCGATCTGGAATGAAAACTCATCCATGATGGAATCTTACTTAATCCCGCATCATACACCCTTGTGCCATACAGGGGCCTCGTTCTGAACGCTGGGGGTCCCTTTCTCTTCTTCTTTGACACTGGGTCCCAACTGTGCAAGCAGCAGCCCCAGCCCCACTAGACACATGCTCTCTGGGGAGTCTTCTCAACTGGGCCACGTACAGGGTGCTAGTTACACCAAGCTCCCTCGAAGTTTTCCTCCTTAGAGTCAGGATGCAGGTCACCGCTTTGCCTTCTGTTTACTATGTTCTAGCAGCAAATAAGACACTTTATCCAGGAAAAAAAACCCCACATTTTGTGCAAAGGAGGCTCTTCAAGGCACTAGTGGGTGAAGCTTCCAAACCCTTCTCAGTCTGATGCACACCAACGTCACAGCCGCCACCCACTGAAGCCCCGGCTGCTTTTGGAAGTTCTAGGTTCTGCTGTAACAGCTCCCTCCGCTTGTAACCACACCGGCAATCTGATGCTTACACCGATGGTAATTACACCACGGATTAGAGTTCACTCGTATAACTTCTGCCCTGGCTATAAAGCCCTGGGTGTTTCCCTCCTTCCAGCCCTGACACAGCTCCTGCTGGGACAGGCCCCTGTGCCCGAGGGCTTCCATCCCGGCCACTCACACACAATGCCATAGGTGCCTTCCCCGATACGGTTCAGCTTCTCAAACTCCTTCACGCTCCGACACCGTCCCAGCTGAAAGACAGAGGTGCTGGTAGTGCAGGGCTTGGGCAGCTAACGGAACAACTAAAGATGGATATTTCACGCTTAATTTGTACAAAGGAGCTCACCCCCGTGTTCACCAAACAAGGATAACCACACACTCGGGCTTTCAGAGAAAAGAGGGGTGACGCTACTGGGCCAGCAGACACTTTGACCACAGTATCACAGGCAGCCCGTTCCCGTCCAAGCCCATGGTCCAGACGTACGCTGTCTACAAACGATAACCACTGGCCACATGTGGTTAACATGACAGTAAAATTTCATTTCCTCAGCTGCCATGTGTGTCGTGCTCCACGTGGCTCATGGTAACCATACTGGATGAATCAGAAACCCACATTTGTTTTTCTAAGTAGGCTCCACGCCCAACATAAGACTTGAACTCACAACCCCAAGATCAAGAGTCCATAGGAAGAAACATTTCCACCCTCACAAGAAGACTACCGAGCAGCACCAGTCTAGATCATGCTCTGGAGATGAACAAAGCTTCTACCAAACACAGCGGAAACGCTTCTGTGGCAGAGACTGACTCCAACATCCACACAGTATTTCTTCCTTTGAGTAGGAAACACTGCCCAGTGGCACGTGGCTACCCAGCTGGTATTTCCCACCGTTGTATTTTGCAGCTAGGTATGTCTATTTGACTAAATTTTGGCCAATGGGATGTGAGCATAAAGGACAAGGGCTTCAAGGAAGGGACTTCCCCAGGGGCACCTGGGTGGCTCAGTCGTTAAGCGTCTGCCTTCGGCTCAGGTCATGGTCCCAGGATCCTGGGATCGAGCCCCGCATCGGGCTCCCTGCTCAGTGGGGAGCCTGCTTCTCCCTCTCCCATTCCCCCTGCTTGTGTTCCTTCTCTCGCTGTGTCTCTCTGTCAAATAAATAAATAAAATCTTAAAAAAAAAAAAAAAAAGGGAAGGGACTTCCTGATCAAAGGAAGTTGGTTGCCGCCCACTCCTTCTTGCCCCTGAAGCAGGGTGGGATTTGGATGAGGTGCAGGTAGATCTACAAGACAGATAACTTGAGTGTCTGGCCCCACCTTGTGGAAAATAGCTGCCTCTCTCCAAAATGTTAGGCGAGAGAAAATTGAGAGAATTTTGAGCTGGCTCCACGCCCAGCACAGAGCCCGACACGGAGCTCCCTCTCACAACACTGAGATCATGACCTGAGCTGAAATCAAGAGTTGGATACTTGGGGCACCTGGGTGCCTCAGTCGGTTAAGTGTCTGCCTTCGGCTCGGGTCATGATCTCAGAGTCCTGGGATCGAGCCCCGCATCGTGCTCCCTGCTCAGCGGGGAGCCTGCTTCTCCCTCTCCATCTGTCCCTCCCCCTGTTCATGCTCTCTCTCTAATAAATAAATAAAATCTTAAAAAAAAAAAAAAAGCATTGGACGCTTAAGTGACTGAGCCACCCAGGCTCCCCAAAGTTCTGTACTTGAGCCACTGTATTTTGGGGTTCCAGTCACAGCAGACAGCCTGTACCCTAACATACCTTCATAATGCAGGACGTTTGTAGATGGACTGAATGAGCATGTCTCCTTGGGTCTAGGAAGCACATGCAGCGAGGTTCAAATTCTAACAGCCTCTCTCTGGCCTTGCTGCCTCCCATCTTCTCCTTCCTTCCTACCACTTGGGGAACCAAGTCAGCATCGCCTGGACTGAGCCCTTGCATGGTCTTGCCTCAGCCTCCTCTTTCCCGTTCTTCTTCACATTCTCTCTCCAGGGGGAACTCCTGGTGCTGCCTATTCACACGGTTTCTCATCTGAGACACTGCTCCTGACATCCTGGGTCGGCACGCCAGTCAAAATCCCAGCCCAGCAGGAACTGCTTTTACAAAATTCCCCCCCAGCTGAACACCATTCTTCCTCTGAAACCCTGACCCTTTCACAGCCGGCAGCAGCGGCTCGTAGGCGCTCCGCTGGCTGTCGGAGCTGCCGTGAGGTTTCGCGTCGCGCGCTGCCGTACTGGCAACGAGGTGAGCACCTGCCGAGCATCTGGGGGGGGGCCGGCGGCCCGCGGACTGCCACCGTGCCTTCAGGATCCTCACCGGCCTCCCAGGGCACCGGCTCCCACACAACCCAGCCCCAGAGTTCACACAATCACTCCACACCCAAAGCTCCACTCTCCCCATCTCGGGCTACACGACCGTGACGCGCAGAGCAAGACGCCACGCAAGCGGCGGCTGTCGGGCGGGGCGCCGCCCGGCGCCTTCCAAGCCCAGGGGGAGGGCACGCCGGCAGTCCCCCGCGGGGAAACGCCCTAGAGCCCGGGGCCCGCTCTTCCAGAGGCTGCCGGCTGGGGACAGCGCCGGGCGCCGCCACCACCCCTGCCCTCGCCCCTGCCGCGGCCCCGAGGACCGCCGCCGGCTTCCGCGCCGGCCGCCAGGGACCCTGGGACTGTCGTTCCCGCCCGCGTCGGAAACCTCAACGCTTTAGCGCGACACTAAGGGGCTCCAGAGCGGTCCAGTCCCGCCCTGCCGCCGGCAAGCTGCCCCGAGCGGCCCCCCGTCGCACCCTGTGTTCCGGAGGCACCGTGAAGAAGCCGTCCTTACGGATACACTTCAGACGGATCTGCTCCGACTCGGACTCCGGGTCCCCCATGTCGGGCGGCCCCCCAGTTCCCGTGTGCGCAGGCGCAGACCAGGTTCCTCCGCGCAGGCGCGTAGAGTACTTCCGGGGCATTTCTACCTCAGCGACGGTTGCCCGGGAAACCTTGCGACGACCCGGGAGGACCTCAGTTTCTGCCGTCCGCTCGCGCTACCGACGTTCGGGCCTGATCTGAGTTTTAAGCGCGGGCACCCGAGGCGGCTGGGGTGCTGGGGAACGGCCGCTGGAGGAGGAGGAGGAGGAGGAGGCTGGAGTCCGAGGGGCGGGGGGCTCCCTCGGAGCCAGGCAGGGCGGGGAGCAGAGCGCGCGTCCGAAGGGCGCGGGAAGAGCGGTGGGAGGCCGCGCTCCGGGCATCGGCGGGTGGAGCGCCCGCCCCCTGCGAGGCCCTGTCGGGCCCGGGCCTCGCGGGCCTCGCGTCCCCGCTGCAGGCGGCGGACGAGGTGAGGGAGGGAGACGGCGCGACAGTGATGCTGGAGGCAGGGCGGTGATGCGATGGGGCGGGGGCGCAGCGTCAGCGGGGGGCCCGGAAAGGCCTGCTGTGGAGGAGCTCGGCGCAGCACAAGCCGGGCGTAGGTGCTAACTGAAGTTAATCATACCTTAGTCAAAATCAGTTGCTTTAATGTCAACTAATTGTCATAGTCACTTCATTTCAGTCCTTTTTCCGTTCATTCATAAGCTAGGCTTCTAGGTGATAATGAGATTAGCATCGTTTTTACGTTATTGTTTGAGATTCTCAGGACAGGGGTCGGAGGAAGGCAATTTCTAGGTCAAATAATAGAAATGTAATGGCCACTAGAAATTTTATGGGAAAGGTAATCGCGCTACCCCAGTGGCGTCAGATCCTCATTTGTATGGGCTTGATCTTTCTGTACGTAAATAAATGTATTGAATAAATACAAGTGATGGTGCTGATAATGTGCTACTAAACAATGCCAAAGTGAAATTCGTTATTCTTTTTGGGGTTATACTGAAACTGATTGGAAGTCGGTCGTACTATTTAATACTAGAAGAGTATGATTCTTGGGGCGCCCGGGTGGCTCAGTCGGTTGGGCGACTGCCTTCGGCTCAGGTCATGATCCTGGAGTCCCGGGATCGAGTCCCGCATCGGGCTCCCTGCTCGGCGGGGGGTCTGCTTCTCCCTCTGACCCTCCCCCCTCTCATGTGCTCTCTCTCATTCTCCCTCTCTCAAATGAATAAATAAATCTTTAAAAAATATATATGATTCTTCTCAATAGATACATAAAGACCAAGTGTAAAGCCTGCTGACCTTTTAGGAAGCAAGGAAACCGACACATACTGTTACCAGACTAAAAGTCTCAGACCAGACAGGGCAGGGCGTTCTCTCCAGCCACTCTGGAGGAGAGTGGAGCCTCACCCATGAGCTGCTGGGGAGGGTGGAACGCCAGCAGGGGTCCCCTGAAAGCCAGGAAGATAGGAAGTTGTCAGCTCAACTCCCCTCCTCCCACAGCAGCTCTGACAAGGCCACTGCCAAAGTTCTCAGTGCCATGTCTGGCCCCTGCCCCAATTCCACATTCTTCTGGATCCTTTAATACTCTGTGTCAAATTGCAGTCAGGGTAGGAGCCCTTGGGCCGCCCCCCCCAGGGTGACTGGGTACTTTACTGCTCTGGGATTTGATGCGTTGAAAGTGAGTCCTCAGAGTCCAGCCTTCTTCCAAGTGTGGGGGACATCTCATTCGCTATAATTGCCGAGTACTTACACCACACTCCTTCAGAAGTGGACAGGAAGGACTTTAACTGCCCACCAAGAAAGAGAGATGCCACCTGCCACTGGTTCATCGCCCTGCATAGCTAGTTACAACAGAGGTATACTAATTCACTTACTACCACGAAGTTCAGTCTCTGAGCCAGAGTCACTGTTGCCCTCTGCCAAGCTGCCAGCAGCTCTGGGGAAGAGAAGACCAAGGTGGTCACTGGGGGAACCTCATTTACTGAAGGGGCAACTGCAGCTTCCCACAGGGCAGGATGGCCCTTCTGCCATCATCGCTGAGACTCAGAGCACAGTGAATAATGCCAGCTACTCGGGGTGCTTGTTTATTCTCGTAAATCATAGGCGTCTACTGTACTGGGGTTTCTGTGTCGGGAGTAGGGGCCCCATTCCACCTGCTCCTTAATGGTTCTCTGCTCTTCGCTTCCGATGGAACTGTAGCTGGCTAGAGTCTCTTTTGAGGCTCTAGTGATGATGATCTGTGGAATGGCAACTTTCTTCTTGCTCGCCTTTACCTTTACATCAGGTTTTTCTAGAAGGAAGAAAACATCCAGGTATTTAACATGTCTGTGGAAAAGCTCTTCTGTAAGGCAGACAATGCATGTGTTAGGGCCAAAGCAAAAGAATTAGATGTGTAGTTCAGGAAAAGAAATGGGCAAGGTTGAAAGCAGTCCAAACAGTAAATGAGTGTTCCGGAGCTTTAACCGACTGACAACTCAGGCATGAGGGTGGTGAATGCTAGGCACCTCTTTCGGGGAAGAAAGGGGGAGACACACTTCTCCAATCCACTGTGGAGAGACTGAGCTGCCGGCCAGCTTGTGTGACAGACGTAGAAGGAAAGGGAATGGAGAGAGAAAAGAAGAGGCAGGGTCTGCCCCAGAGGTGAAGGTTCAGATACACAGTTTTTAAAGGATTCTAAATCTGGTAACCCTCCCCCCCCAAAAAAACCCTCTCTGTACAGAACCTTATCAATCAGAATGCGGAAGAATTAACATTTCTTCTTTTTTAAAAAAAGATTTATTTATTTATTTTAGAGAGTGAGTGTGAGCAGAGGGAGGGGCAGAGGGGGAGAGAGAGAGAGAGACTCCTCAACCAGACTCCTCACTGAGTGTGGAGCCTGACATGGGGCTCAGTCTCACGACCCTGAGATCACGACCTGAGCCGAAACCAAGAGTCAGACGCTCAACTGACTGAGCCACCCAGGCACCTCAAGAATTAACATTTCTAATACGGGCTGCAACATTTTCTTAAGCTTACAAGGATTGCATGGGACTTGTAAAATGCCAAGTTTGCCAAATGTTACAAAATACATAAGCAGAAGTGCCTTCATGCCTCCCCTGCTGCGTCTCCCAGCCTGCGCCCCCCCCCCGGGCCTTCAGGTTGGAGGCACTGCCTTTTAGGCCTCTCTTCAAGCACTACAGAGAGGGCTCTTTCTCTCTCTGTGCACATATGCATGCAAGTAGAGTTAGAATAATCACATTGTCACATAATTGTTATAAAAATGCTATCACGCTGGTCCTACTGCTTTTCAGTGTGCTTTGTGCCCCACTTAAAATACCTCATGAACCCGGCTACCTGGGGGCATAGGGAATGGTTGCTTATTCTCCGTCAGACATCATTCTGAGCCTAGAATGACAGTGAACACCAACCCACAACGCTTCCTGAAGTAGGTCCTCTTATGACCTACGTTTTACAGAGGAAGGTACTGAGGCACAGAGAGGTCATTTGCTCAAGGCAGGTGGTAGAGGGAGATGCCGGGGCTCCATAGCTCTGTCTGTCTTCAGTGCCACATCCACAGCTTTGATTGTTTTAACTACCAATGAATGACCCAGGGCCTGCACTGAGAGTGTCCTTTTTATTTTTATCATTAAGTCAAAAACTGCATTTCATATTTTGCATTTAATTTAAATTGGGGGTTCGTTTTTTACATTAATTTATATATGCTTTTATATATTAAGACTAAAAGGCTATGAATATTTTATTTAAAAAATAATACACAATTAAAAATTGCATATGGGAGGATTCTTTTCCTTCCAGACATTTCATATGTACATGCACAGTGTGATGCATTTAGGATCACATTATGGCTTGGCTGAGCTCCATGTCTGCACATACAGGTTGGTCTCTTCCATGGCAGCCTGGACTTCACTATCTGGGGACCCATCCATTACATTACCAGCTCCCTTGAATGAACATAATTTAGGTTATTTCAATTTTTATATTTTTCAAGTGATGCTGTAGTTAACATTCTTGCATTTATATATTTACACATTTGTGAGGGTTTATTGGGTAAGTTACTAGAAGGAGGATTTTGGCAAATATTGTCAAACTATTTTTCATAAAGATTTTATCAATATATATTTCCACTAAGATTTTGTAAATAGGACATTTCTCCATACCTTCCCCTAATTTTCAGTTTGCTAAATCTTTTCCCATGTTACATGAAAATGGAAGTATTGACTTCTGCCCCCACTGGTCACCTTCAACCTTCCTGAAGCTTTACCCCAGTATGGGGAGGTTGAGCATCTTTTTGCTTCGTCATGGCCCAGTGGTATTTATTTTCCTGTGAATGCATGTCATATTCTTTCCTCATTTTGTACTTTGACCTTTTCGGTGTGTGAGAGCTTTTTGCATGTTGAGGAGATTTCCCCTTCATGATCATATTGTAGATGGTTCCCCTTGTTTTACTTCTTAATGTAGTCAAATCTTTCAATATATCTTTGTAGTGTCTTTGTTTTGAGGCTTAGAAGGATGGTCCCTACTGAGGGCTCATATTAAAATGTACATCTGGGGCACCTGGGTGGCTCAGCATCTGCCTTTGGCTCAGGTCATGATCCCAGGGTCCTGGGATCGAGCCCCGCATCAGGCTCCCTGCTCCGCGGGAGGCCTGCTTCTCCCTCTCCCACTCCCCCTGCTTGTGTTCCCTCTCTCGCTGTGTCTCTGTCAAATAAATACATAAAATCTTACAAAAAAAAAAAAGTACATCTTACTTTTTGCAGTCACTTTTTTCTTAAGATTTTATGTATTTATTTGAGAGTGAGCAAGAAAGCACGAGCGGGGTGGGGGAGAGGCAGAGGGAGAAGCAGACCCCCTGTTGAGCAGGGAGCCCAACATGGGGCTCAGTCTTAGGACCCTGGGATCATGACCTGAGCCAAAGGCAGACGCTTCA